GTCGAATCTGTGACTGTAGATGTGTTTGAATCTGTAGATGTGATTGATTCAGTGGTCGATATTGGAATTTCTGATGTCCTTGAATCATCTAACACCATTGTTGAGGTAGTAACTGTCGAATCTGTGATTGTAGATGTGTTTGAATCTGTAGACGTGATTGCTTCGGTGGTCGATATTGGAATTTCTGATGTCGTTGAATCATCTAACACCATTGTTGAGATGGTCACTGTCGAATATGTGACTGTAGATGTGTTTGAATCTGTAGATGTGATTGATTCAGTGGTCGATATAGGAATTTCTGATGTCGTTGAATCATCTAACACCATTGTTGAGGTGGTCACTGTCGAATCTGTGATTGTAGATGTGTTTGAATCTGTAGACGTGATTGCTTCGGTGGTCGATATTGAAATTCCTGATGTCGTTGAATCATGTAACACCGTTGTTGAGATGGTCACTGTCGAATCTGTGACTGTAGATGTGTTTGAATCTGTAGATGTGATTGAATCTGTAGATGTGATTGATTCAGTGGTCGATATTGGAATTTCTGATGTCCTTGAATCATCTAACACCATTGTTGAGGTGGTAACTGTCGAATCTGTGATTGTAGATGTGTTTGAATCTGTAGACGTGATTGCTTCGGTGGTCGATATTGAAATTTCTGATGTCGTTGAATTATCTAACACCGTTGTTGAGATGGTCACTGTCGAATCTGTGACTGTAGATGTGTTTGAATCTGTAGATGTGATTGCTTCGGTGGTCGATATTGGAATTTCTGATGTCGTTGAATCATCTAACACCGTTGTTGAGATGGTCACTGTCGAATCTGTGACTGTAGATGTGTTTGAATCTGTAGATGTGATTGATTCAGTGGTCGATATTGGAATTTCTGATGTCGTTGAATCATCTAATACCGTTGTTGAGGTGGTCACTGTCGAATCTGTGATTGTAGATGTGTTTGAATCTGTAGATGTGATTGATTCAGTGGTCGATATTGAAATTTCTGATGTCGTTGAATCATCTAACACTGTTGTTAAGGTGGTCACTGTCGAATCTGTGACTGTAGATGTGTTTGAATCTGTAGATGTGATTGATTCAGTGGTCGATATTGGAATTTCTGATGTCCTTGAATCATCTAACACCATTGTTGAAGTAGTAACTGTCGAATCTGTGATTGTAGATGTGTTTGAATCTGTAGACGTGATTGATTCAGTGGTCGATATTGAAATTTCTGATGTCGTTGAATCATCTAACACCGTTGTTGAGGTGGTCACTGTCGAATCTGTGACTGTAGATGTGTTTGAATCTGTAGATGTGATTGATTCAGTGGTCGATATTGGAATTTCTGATGTCGTTGAATCATTTAACACCGTTGTTGAAATGGTCACTGTCGAATCTGTGACTGTAGATGTGTTTAAATCTGTAGAAGTGTTTGAGTCTGAAGACGTGATTGATTCAGTGGTTGATATTGAAGTTTCTGATGTCGTTGAATCATCTAACACCGTTGTTGAAATGATTACTGTCGAATCTGTGACTGTAGATGTGTTTGAATCTGTAGATGTGATTGATTCAGTCGTCGATATTGGAATTTCTGATGTCGTTGAATTATCTAACACCGTTGTTGAGGTGGTCACTGTCGAATCTGTGACTGTAGATGTGTTTGATTCTGTAGATGTGTTTGAATCTGTAGATGTGATTGATTCAGTGGTCGATATTGGAATTTCTGATGTCGTTGAATCATCTAACACCATTGTTGAGGTGGTCACTGTCGAATCTGTGACTGTAGATGTGTTTAAATCTGTAGAAGTGTTTGAGTCTGAAGATGTGATTGATTCAGTGGTCGATATTGAAATTTCTGATGTCGTTGAATCATCTAACACCGTTGTTGAGATGGTCACTGACGAATCTGTGACTGTAGATGTGTTTGATTCTGTAGATGTGTTTGAATCTGTAGATGTGATTGATTCAGTGGTCGATATTGGAATTTCTGATGCCGTTGAATCATTTAACACCGTTGTTGAGGTGGTCACTGTCGAATCTGTGACTGTAGATGTGTTTGATACTGTAGATGTGTTTGAATCTGTAGATGTGATTGATTCAGTGGTCGATATTGGAATTTCTGATGTCCTTGAATCATCTAACACCATTGTTGAGGTGGTCACTGTCGAATCTGTAATTGTAGATGTGTTTGAATCTGTAGACGTGATTGCTTCGGTGGTCGATATTGGAATTTCTGATGTCGTTGAATCATCTAACACCGTTGTTGAGATGGTCACTGTCGAATCTGTGACTGTAGATGTGTTTGAATCTGTAGATGTGTTTGATTCAGTGGTCGATATTTGAATTTCTGATGTCGTTGAATCATCTGACACCGTTGTTGCATCTGAGGCTGTATATGTTACAGATGTTTGTGAACCTGTAGGTATATTTTGCTCAGTGGTAGATTCTGATGTTGAATCAACCTTAGATATATTTTCTCTGATAGTTGTTATTGTTATTGGATCAACTGTTACTATAGTGCTGATGAAGCTTTTAGTCGTTTGTGTCAAATCGGTTATTGGAATTGAGTTTGTGGTACTCGTGTGTATTTCAGTGGAGTTCGTATTTGTTGCAGGATTGATAGCAGTTGTGTTTAATGTTGAAGTTGTACTGTAAGAAAGTGTTGTTTCTGTAAGTTTATTTGTTTTTGTTGTTGATGTCGTTGCATACGAAGTAGTAGGTTGTACTGTTGCTGGACTTTCAATCTCATCGTCGAAGTCGTTGCAATATGTGGTTTGTTCTTCCTCTTCATCACAGTCATCACATATGTAGCATTGAAGTATATTCGATTTAACTAAAAATAATCTGATGTTATTCTCTAAATCATAAATAGTTAGTGTAAGGTTTAGTCTTAGCATTAAGTTAATAATGGTTAAAAGGATTTTAAATTTATGTAATCGTTAATTTACACATTATAGAGAACTAATATAATAGAAATTTTATTAAATAAAATAAATATATATTAAATATATATTGATTACATAATTTAATTGTATTCATAATATATAGCATTTGAAAATGAATTGAACTTTATTAAGTGTGATAATAATAGTACATGATAATCTAGATATGCACCCAGTCCATTTATATTGGTCACACAACAGAATTGATAGTAAAATCGATTTATCTAGACATGCTTCAAGAAAAATACAAGAAAAATGGAAAGGAAACGTGAAATTATGACCAAGTGACAGAGAACTGAAATTAATAAAATGATCAAGTAAAATTATTTATACAGTAGATATGGTATCGAATTTCTAGAGCATGAGAAATCATATTGAAAAATATTTATTATTTTTTTCTAAATGTCTCTGGGTATTATTATTTTTACATTTAACATTTTTAACATTTTTTTATTTTTTACTATTGTTTATTTTTGGACATGGAGTAAATCTTCTCTTAACTCGATACACTTTTCTCAACGGTGGCTTAACTTCTTAAGCCGCTTTATCATAAAAATATGCAATACGATACTTATGACTGATTCAATAATGTTGCAAAGTAAGCTTCAGTGGTTTTGTAACGTTTTTCGATGCAGTGAATCAGAAACAGGGTTTTTCCCTTTCAAAAAACAGTAGCCGTGGTTTTCGCGGGCGACTGATTTGTTTTGAGTATTTTTTTGTCTCGAAAGGGTAATCCATAGGGAGTCCAACTTACTGAAACAGTTCTAACAGAGTTAAAAAAATTGCGGTTTGCAAAAACAAGTGCAGAGCTTTTTTATGTGGAGATCTTCAAACTTCAACGCACACAATCTCAGAAAGCCGTAAGATTATTTGACAATCGCCTAATAACTTTTGATGCATTTATTTGATATTTTCTTCAGAAACACGAGTTCTTATAGAACGGTGTTCATGAACACCTCTAAAGACAGCTTTCAAAGTTTTTACTGTGGCTTTATAAACAGTCAATCTCCCACTTCTTTACTGTTGCTTATAATCCTGCAGAGGTCTTGTAGATTTCACTTAATTATTTTGCACTTAATTAATTATTATTTTTTAAAAGCAAAAATTCAATTAATTACGCGTTTCGCTATATCTTAACAAATGCATGAGGTCGGTCAATGAAAAATATTATTAAATATACTTTTGGCTGCAAAAGTAGATTATCATTTTTACGATTGTATTTTAAAGTATTGTTCTTTCAATCTTTTCTGCTTTATTTTGGGCTCAAAAACTTTTATTTGTCCCCCGTTATGGAAAACTATATTCTATAGTGAGAAATTATAATTTTTCTTTAAGCACTGAGTTCTTATGCTTATATACCATATATTGTATCTTTAAGTATGCTACAAGTATCACAGTATTTTTTTTCTATCTAATAACGGTTTAATTAAATACACATTGCAATTAAAATATCTATGTAGTTTACTATATTAATAATAATAATTTTTCTCACAATAGATTTTTAAAGTGCTTTGGGTGAATCACTTAGGAAGGTAACATTTTGAAAATGGAATAATCTATTAACTGATATGTAAAATTGATATAAAAAATGTTTATCACAATAAAGAGGCATTTTAACAAGCCACTTATATGAAATAAATTATTTATAAACTTTAATTATTTCCTATTTTAAGTTAAACAAATGGCAGAGAAAAGGACAAAAGATAGTAACAGAATGGGAGAGAAAAATTTACTGAAAATTTTATTAATAAATCTTATCTATACGGGAAATTGATATAGTATACATACCAAGTATACATAACTATTCTTTTTATTCAATCTTTTTCAATTTTTATCCTTTATGCAATTGCATTATGTAGATATATAGAGTTATCTTAACTAACTAATGGATTTCTGAAATAATTTTCATTCTATAAAAATAGGTTCAGATTTATAAAAAATATAATAAATCTTCAGAGAATAGTTTATTTGTATAAAATTTCAAATGTATTAATAGCAATTATTAATTATATATAATTTTCTATTAAATAAAGTGCCTTATTATGCCCCAAATTATAAACTCTAATTTCATCAGAGACCAAGTAGCAGTTTGGTGAAAGCAAAGTGGCTTGGTGCCTAAAAAATGTAGTTTTATCTGTCTATCAATAGAAGACAGATAACAGAAGGGAAGAAAAACAGACATTGCATGCTGTTTGCAACTAATTAGATCGTTAAAGGACAATTTATAGCCTGAAGACTGTATTTGGCAATGAAAAACAACCTTGTCTTTATTGTAGAGCATCAAGACAAGGCATGGCCGCAAACGTAATCTCCAACGATACAATTTCAAGTTTTATCTTAACATCACTCATAATATTTCTTTTAAAATATTCATTACGGATTTAATGAAAAAATGTTCAGAATTGTCTCATCGCCTATATTTTTAGATTTATCCGTTATAGACTTAATTTTTTTTTCTCAAACTTAAAGAAGTTTCAGTGATATTTTAGTCCAAAAATGAGGTTATGGTTAAGGACTTTGAGTAATTTTTATGTTTTAAAGTAATTGAAATATTGGAAAAATATTGGTTTCAGTGTTTTGAGTTAAATAGAAATTTTTAAGAAATCCTTTTTTTATTTAATCCACTCTCGTTTGCAAAACTATCAAGTCCACTGTAAAAAATCTTATTTGCATTTTACTTGTTTGATTTTATATATATATATATTTTTTTTTTTTTAAAAAAAAATTCATATAAGCATATTGTAGTTTTTTATTTTATATTCTACATTATTTTTGTTTATTGTGTATTTTCATTAATTAAATAATTATTTACACTTTAAATTCACCTTTGCTTATTACAAATAAAACACAAATAAATATGCTTAATAATTTCATTTTGAAACGATGACGAAATTTATATAAATTATTGGAACTTTTTTAAATATACTATAACATATATTCTGTATTTAAATATATATAATATATATCATATCCTTTTTTGATATACATAAAGTCGTT